AAAAAAAAAAAAAAAGAAAAAGGTTCCGTACGTCATGCGGACTGCGCCCCTCGTGTCGGTTGGGCGGGAATGGAGGGTAAAAAGCCGTTGGGATTAATTAATTAATTGCACCATTGAGCATATCGAACTCTTCTGTGTTACAGCCGACGCTTAGAAGGCTGATACCGCATACCGCAGTGGTTGGCGCATCTGGCAGGATCACCTTTCATGTTAATTGAGCAGAGCATCATTCAAATATAATTACCGGACATGCGTTTCTTCTCCAATATTTTGAATAACAGTTGATGTCTGGGCCTTATCAACTCCTCGCCGAAGTAGACATAGTCAGGCGGTGGGACATCGCTTTCGTCGTCTTCGACTGGAGGCTCGATTTCATCTTCTCCACTGCCTTTCATTATATTACCATTCAACAGGGTGGAAAAGTGCTACTCCCATAATTTAAGTAAGTTCTGGGCATGAGCCGTGAATGGCCTAACTTTTCAAAAAATGTTTTTAACATTCTTCCTGGCAGCCAGCATTTAAATCTCTTCGCAGTGACCTATTTTGACATCTCACTTCTTATCAAGGTAAATATGTCCACCTTCTGCTGTATATAACAAATCCGCATACCTCACACTGCGTATATCGTATTTATTCTCTCCAGCTTCGTGAAATTCTTCGTCGTACCATCTTTCGGGTCCGATGAAAGTCGCCTTCATACTTCTTGAGCAGCGATACGTAATACGCAGAAAATGTGGTTCCACTGCCAGGAAATGTCAGTTTGTTTGTCGGAATTCGACATCTTTTTTCCTACAATTTTGAATTTTACCTGTCACAAATACTAACTCCTTTATGCGAATTACATTTGAAGTCCACCAACAAAATTTATAGCGAATTTACAGGAAAACTTAAAATCGAATTATGAACGTTAATACCGGATTGATTAATGCTAATTCTATCAAGTCTCCTCCAAATTTCTTCAGTTGCTTTTGAAATTAGACCGAAAAAGGAACCTCGATTTTCATTTATAAAAAATATGCATATATATTTGTATGTACAGATAAGTGTTCATCACTGACTAATATGTCAAACATATACCAATTCAAACTTTAAATAAGTTTTTCGATTATATTTGTCTGAGAGCCTCTTGGAGAATAAAAACTAAATTGCCCACATCTACATAAACTCTTTATTTTTTTCATCAGAATCGTTAACGGTTGAGAAAGTGTCTTGTAGATTTACAACAGAAGATAATATTTCCTTCTCTAATGGCGGTTTCACGCGGGTTTTGGTCAAGACTGGGCCAAAGCCCAATATTTTTCCATCATACGACTGGGCTACAAAGTTACACCAAATTTTATGTTACTAATATGTGTTCTAAAAGTGAAACAAATCTGATCATAAATATGATTTTTTTTAGGATAGCTCTCAATCCCTGCGCCAAATATCGGAAGACAAACACACTTATACTTCTAAAAGCTTTTGCACGAAACAACAACCATTCAATGCGATTTTAAAATCTGGGAGAAAATGTATCCCAGTTGAATGATTCTTGCGATTTTATATGTGTATAAATGTAGGTGTATAAAATTCCAAAACCTTACAATAAGTGGTTCCAGAGATAAGCGATATGAGAATTTCAGTTTGTATGGGAAGTGCCCCGCCCACTTTTCCAGTATCTACCATTTTTCGCCGTAAGTAGGGTATTTACAATCTGCATCTGTGCTAGGTTTCAGTTCCCCAGCGTAATTGGTTCTAGAGATATTGTGGTTTTCACGTTTTAGTCTATATGTCAGATGCCACGCCCCCACGGGGTTAACATTTCTGGATTAGAAGAAGTTATATCCTTTAAATTGGTGTATGTTTCATAGAAATCGAGCCAACGGTGCCTGCAAAAGGGGTTGCAAAATTTTCTTGTGGCGTATTTATATATAGATTATATTTTTATGTATTTTTGGACAACTAATGGGAGAGCAGCATGGTGTTTTACATATAACCCTTTAAATTTTTTAAACAGTACACTCTAAAAAGTGCATGTAAAACTACTACTGAAAAGTGATTATTTTTTAACCAGAATCTGTTCAAGTATACGCACAAGATGTTCAAGATTTGGTTTTGAACATGAGTTGTTTAAAATATACACATGAAATGTTTAAAATTACAAACATTTTGAAAGTAAAAATATCTTTTTTACAAATAATAAATACTAAGTGCCAGGGGCGCACGCAGGAATATATTTTTGGGGGGAAAGGGTTTATACTTCTAAATATATATCATCAGCAAATACTGAAAATTCGCTCTTTAAAATACATTTATGAAAGTTATATTTACAGTATGAAATNTCTTACAAAATAACGCACAAGAAATGGAAAATAAAATTTTTTCTATCAAAATTTCTTATATCATAATAAATTTACCCCCAAAACCCATCCCTTGTGTGCGCTACGTGACAAATTTGATATGTAGAAGTAAACAGACAGTGTTTAATTTTGCACACACTAGGAGAGGAAACTGATTACCTCTCTTTATATGCGTAAATTTAAACGAAAATTTTTTAGAGGAAATTTTAAACATTTTATGTGTAAACTGTGAAAATGTGAACAATAAATGTTTAAAACTCAAAAAACAAATTTGAAATTTGTTCTACGCCACACATATGATAAGTAAAAGTAAGCAAGCAGTGTTTAAATTTGCATTCATTAAGAGAGGAAACTGGTTACCTATCTTAATATGCGCAAATTTAAACAAAAATTGTTTAGAGTGTAGCTTTGTGGAGCATTGTATTCCTGTACTGCTCCCAGTAATTTAGATGGATATTCCGGATGCTTGACGAATGCTTTATATTTGTCCCAGTTGCTTTAAAGTCGGAATGTAGAGATTCTACAGCTTGCTCGCTATAGAATCCTTTCCCTTGCCTACATGCATGCATGGTCTTTTGGTCTTGCAAACATGTTATTGTTTTGTAGATATACTTGACAAAAACTAATGCAAGTATAAAGAATACTTATATTAGAAACTTAAAAAGAACAAATGTTGTGCGCGTACAATCTTCCCGTTTGAATTGAATTTATCGGCATTTTGTGCATAAAACAAGCTAAGACACTTGAACCATATACTAACTTGATTGTATATAAATCGTACAAGTTACATTACAAAATAAATATGAACTGTAAGGTATCAATTTGTCATCTAGAGCGGGTGCGTGAACATTTTAAAAGAAAAGGAATAATTTTCATTCAAAACTAGTTTTTTCAAAAACGGCTCGATAAGTTATGGGCTATAAAATTTTTACAAGATATTCATAACATAATTAACCCAAATTAGCAAAAAAATATGATGTGCTATGACCTTCGATTTAAAGTTGGTTCAGGTCCACCGTGCAGCTGTTGTTGAAGACAGTACTCGGTTATGAAGTATCTCTCCCACCACAAGTCCAGCACCCTAATTTACATGGCAGCTTTAGTATATGTCGCAAGGTCTTAAGTGCTTTTGCTTTGCCACACGTCAGCTAATCTTCTCGAGAACATCGAGTAACCGGGCAGAGCTACCTTCCCCATTAAATGCTCAGGTATTTCAGGTGCATGCCCTTAAATATTAGTCCTTTAAACGTTTTCCGGGGGATCTCATACATGGCTTTCTGAACCTTTTCGTAGGAAAGGGTTTTTATGTGACGGGTTCCAAGTATAGCGTACAACCGGGGACTTGAGCAATCGTTGAGGAGATATAGGTGTATATGCGGCTTGCTGCACAACAGACGCCCGCTTGCTGCTGCACCTCATGGCGAACAGCCGCCGCAGACTTCAGTGGAGAAAAACAGCAGAGTTTCTATTTGGTTGGTAGGCGTTAATCGGTCGTCGAGGAGATTGTTAACAGGGTTGAATTTATTGTAGCTAACAGATCGAAAGCTGGAAGTCTTGGGACAGGATTGCTATGGTTGTAGCTAGGCTATGTTTTTAATAAGTACTAGCAGTTTGGGAAACAATTCCGTCATATGTAGTAGTTATGGACTATTTTCGTAGATGGATGGATGGGAAGCATATCCAACTACAAATAGGGAAGGTAAGACAGGGTAAAAAAAACTCAGTGCTAGTTTTTTTACTTTGGCAACGGAACAGTTCTGAGAGGCATACAACCTGGGATGTCTCATAAAATACGGTTTTTACTGGGAGGAAAGCTGTTTCTTGGAGTGAGAATTAACTAATTGACGACTGTTTTATTGTTTTGTTTTTTATTTGAATAATAATTTACTAATAAATTTACATATGTATGTATCATTTTCAAAGATAAAATAAGAATTAAACAAGAAAAAACATTCTTTCACTGCAAATATTTAAATAAAAACAAAAAGTGTTTGAGGACTAGAATGGATGACAGATTTATATGTACTACATATATGCATATGTACATCATCAGTGGTGGCATGCCAGCCTGCACCTGCATATGCGACCACCTGACAGCTACGAGCTGCCGCTTCTTCAAGCGCCGCCCGACGACTTGCGACTCCCCGTCACGCCAGTTTTACTCTCCAATTGCGCCTGCAGTTGGCGCACGTTCTCGCCGGTGTTATTGTGCCGCTGGAAGAACGCATTGATGGAGCTCATGGAGCGATACTCCAGATTGTCGCTCATATTCCAATCGACGCTGATGCTCTGATGACGTGCCATAGGGTTACGACACTCCTTCGTCTCGTTGTACTTCTCGAGCAGATGCAGCAGGCAATCTTTCGTCGTGTTTGCCGCCTCTTCCAGATTAACCGCCTGATGGATGTTCGGCACACCGATCGGCACATCGCGTGACATTTGATTAACGCGAAATTTTGCGCGCCGCATGCTCGCCGATTCGTGGGATTGTCGTTGTAGTTTTTGGTGTGTTTGCTGTATGTCTTCGTCTTGCGCCAGTTTGGTTGACACTTTCGTCGCTATTACTTTCGTAGAGGTTTTCGTGCTTGATTTTGTTGAGCTGCTAGTGATGGTCGACTTCCAGGGCACACCAAAACTCGGACCGCTGCCATTGGTTAGTTTCGGTGTTTCTTCGATCGATTGCTCTAAGCGCATAGAGACCGTGCTGAATTTCGATTTGACACCATTGCCCGCGGACTTTCTGGTGCTGGAGTTTGTTGTGGTGCTAGATGTTGCCGTTGTTGTTGTATTACCAGAGACTTTAGTGCTTGTTTTCGTAATGCGCTCCCTGCTTTCGGACGTGGCGTTTGTGTCTTTAGCAGTTGTCGCTTCCTTCTTTGCCGCAGCTTCTTTAGCAGCTGCGCTCGTTTTGCCCTTGGACGTCTCTCCACTGACTTTAGTTTTCTTCTGCTTGTTATTGTTCGGATCCACTTCGAGTTTTGCCTCTTTGCCAAGTTTTGTATTAATTTCCGCCAACATTAGCAAATGGTCGGACAACTTTCGTATTTCTTCAGCTAAATTCACGCGCTCACCCGAAGCGCGTCGTCCAAGCAGATAACTCGTATCCGAGTTGCGTCGGTCGAAGGTATGCAAGTAGCTCTTCATGCTGCGCTCCTGTTGATTGAGATTGGTGCTGCTACCGCTGAGTTCATCACAGTAGCCACGTCGTCCGAGCAGGTGTTGCGGTCCGTACTGTAGTGGCGGTTGTGGGGTGGGTGTGGTGCTGGTCGGTGTGACGGCAGCGCCGCTGGCTGTTGTGGCTAGCGTGGCGCTGCTGGGGAAAAGCTTCTCGCGTGATTCATTTATAGGCGTGGCTAGTGAGTTGGGACTGCCATTGTCTGCGTCGGCGTTACTGAAAACATCATCGTCGATAATCGTCTCAATCGACTCGCATGGCGATGGGGAGCAAACTGTCGAGAGAAGAAAAGTAAAGATCGAGGGAGAGAAAAAACAGAAATATTTTTAGATTTGCGGTAAATAAGAGGAAACAGGACGGCATTGTGTGCGTGAAAGCGAAGCAGTATACTTAAAAAATAAAAATCCGACTTGCAAGCAGAGGCATGCAAGAAACAATACAAAATGCCAAATAAGTTAGTACAAAACGTGCATTTTAACCTAGCTGATATAGAATGAACGAAGAGTTGGCTAGTAGTTATAATATTTGGTGACAACGTTTGCTAAAAAAGATGTTTTCTCTTTTTCAAAATTTAGTTTTGGATGCAAAATGACAGATAATGTGAAACTACATCGATTTTTCGTCCCTTCTTGGCACCATTTCACCTATAGGTAGTGATATGCTTATATGCTTTGCGAAAAATTTTCAAAATCGGTTAACGGAAAGACGTGCCTCACGAGCTCTGAAGTTATATACGCTAACGCATTAAATTTTACACAAAATATATAATTCAGTATAAAGAGCTTATTTGTTTCATACTAATCAATGGATTTTGGCACGCTGATCTCAAATATTATGACTACATGCCATTTCTTATATCTCGTCCGTTTGCGTTTGCTTAACTTTAGGGCTCTTGAGGTACGTTTTTCCATTATCAGATTTTGAAAATTTTTCGCAGAGCAGATTTTTATGCCCAAATGTACCTATCGAGGGCGAATCTTCCATTTTGGGTCAAATTTTAAAAATTAGGTGCACCCTAATGTTCAAACATATTCATTGTACTTAGCTTAATCATACGCCAAATTCAAGAAAACTTGACCTAAAAAATATGTCTTTAATCGTTTCAATGAAGAATGACTTAAAAAAAGCATGATATTATTTCGTTACCTAAAGCTGAAAAGGCGTCAAGTCCATTTTTTGAAACTATTCAGGAGAGATGAAAAATCGATGTAGTTTCGCACTATCGGTCACTCTTCATCTAAAATTAAATTTGGAAAAAAGTGGACTTGGCACCTTTTTACCTTTAGCTAGCGATATTTTATATACTTTTCTGTGCATACTAAGCAAACTTTTTTTTTATGAATGAAAAACCCCAAAATTAAATATAGAAAATCCTTGCACTAATTTCTATCCAAATATTCCTTGCATTTGTATGAATTTAACTTTTCTTTAAAGAAGCGCATACCGTGGCATTTCGTCCAAAGGATGAAAAATCCCATTTGCTAACTTCGAGAAAAAATCATGAAATACTGCAATATAATTTTTGAATATTCATAATTTTACAAGTAAATAAGTATTCATATATAGAACGTCGTAAGATTTATTTTGTTTATGATGTGACTTTCGTCGATTAGATGAATTTATAGTAAAAGCCACACTTTCTGCGTAATTTAAATTTTCTATGGTCTCTTTACGAAGCAAAAAAATCAGGGACCATAGCGGTTATAATATTTATATAAAAAATAACCTAATCATTCAAATCGAAATTCTATCAAATTTAACCGTTTTTTATGATTTTAATTTTTTTTCGATGAAAAAAATCGTTATTTTTGAAATATAATTTCTTTCAAAACATTTTTCATTGTTATTTCTGATTCATATTTTATCGACCGTTTTATAACATTTATTTTCAGACTTAATTTGTTAAATTATAAAATATTTATAAAAATGTTCGAACAAATAAAAATAAAAATATTGATTTCGCAATGATCTAAAAATTTAAATCTCTATATTTAACGGTTATTTTCGGTGCCAGAGAAAATTAGCAAGAAAAATTCTCTCATCTCGAATGGTCCGTTATTGATAGAAAAATTTTAAAATATCTACGAATAATTAGATTGAAAGTGCACTGTTCGTCCATTGGGTGAATATTTTACTGTATCATGTATTGTTAGCAGCCACAAAGCAAAATTTAATTGAAGTGCATTCATTCATTTCTATTGTAGATATGTACATATGTATGCAATACTACTATGTTAATCATAATTTCTATTATTTTAATATAATACTTTTTTTGAGCAGCTTCTTGAAAATATCAGAGGTACTTCCATTCGGTGTATTTTTTTAATTAAAGCAAATTTATCTTGGTCTACGAGTATGAATGTATGCGTGTATGAAGGGTTTCGTAAATGTCATTCGATTAATACGTACATAAATACTACAATGAGTGTCGAAAATATTTTTTTGTTTTGTTTTGTAAACACTAACGAACTGTAGTTAAGGGAAAAATGTTGTCAGTGGCTTTGTACTTGTAACTAAATATTCTGTGCATAAATTGCAAAATGCCATTTATGAAAAGTATTGGAGTAATTGGATCAGCCAGGACTTACCTGCATACAGGTACATTTGATCCATAATTCATATTGCTGTGTATGTACTGTACATCATTTACATAACTGTAACTGGTTGGTTGTGTGCTGGTTAATTTACATAAGTTCATGGAAAATTGGTCTAAAACTCTTCATTACTTTTTATTTTATTTATTTTTTTATTTTATTTTATTTTATTTTATTTTATTTTATTTTATTTTATTTTATT